ACGTAGAGAGAGCCACACTCGTACTCGACCAAACAACACTGATGTTCCTTTAGTTTATAACATATCTATTTATATGTTCAACTGTGCTATTGAACATAATTTTATCTTTGTCACTCAGTCATTTGTTCATGAACCTTAATCATGCTTTGTCACACACTCGGTTGTTCTAGAAACTTGAATGTTGGTCTGTCACTCAGTCTTTTGTTCACAAAACTTAATATTGCTGTCATTCAGTCATTCGTCTTTTGTTCACAAACCTTAAACTTTGGTCGGTCACTCATTCATTTGTTCACAAACTCTTAATTTTGCTTCCTCATCTATCACTACCTTTGCTTTTTCTCTTTGGTCTAAGTTTTTAATTTTAAATTTGCAACACCCCATAAAATATGGACAAATACCAACCAATATAAATCAAAATCTGCTGTAAATGTCTCTACTAATCAGAGATCATGGCCGCCATCTTTAACAGCAAATGACAGACAGAAGGATGATCGACAAAGGCAATCAAGCTCACAGAAACTTGATGCTTCATGCATAGCAATACAATAGTCAAACATCGTATTCCTTTGTTTTAATTTAATGACTTTAACACTGTCCCTGTTACAAATCCTTCAAACCACCCCTGTAACATTGTCCCTGTTACAAATCCTTCAAACCATTCCTGTAACACTGTCCCTGTTACAAATCCTTCAAACCACCCCTGGTACACTGTCCCTGTTACAAATCCTTCAAACCATCCCTGTAACACTGTCCCCGTTACAAATCCTTCAAACCATTCCTGTAACACTGTCCCTGTTAAAAATCCTTCAAACCATTCCTGTAACACTGTCCCTGTTACAAATCCTTCAAACCATTCCTGTAACACTCCCTGTTACAAGTCATTCAAACCACCCCTGTAACACTGTCCCTGTTACAAATCCTTTGAAACCATCCCTGTAACACTGTCCCTGCTACAAATCCTTCAAACCACCCCTGTAACACTGTCCCTGTTACAAATCATTCAAACCACCCCTGTAACACTGTCCCTGTTACAAATCCTTCAAACCATCCCTGTAACACTGTCCCTGTTACAAATCATTCAAACCACCCCTGTTACACTATCCCTGTTACAAATCCTTCAAACCACCTCTGGTACACTGTCCCTGTTACAAATCCTTCACACCATCCCTGTAACACTATTCCAGTTACAAATCCTTCAACCCATCCCTGTAACACTGTCCCTGTTATAAATCCTTCAAAACCATCCCGGTAACACTGTCCCTGTTACAAATCCTTCAAACCACCCCTGTAACACTGTCCCAAGTACAAATCCTTCAAAACACCCCTGGTACAATGTCCCTGTTACAAATCCTTCACACCATCCCTGTAACACTATTCCAGTTACAAATCCTTCAACCCATCCCTGTAACACTGTCCCTGTTACAAATCCTTCGAACCACCTCTGTAACACTGCTCCCGTTACAAATCCTTCGAACCACCTCTGTAACACTGCTCCCGTTACAAATCCTTCGAACCACCTCTGTAACACTGCTCCCGTTACAAATCCTTCGAACCACCTCTGTAGCACTGACCCTGTTACAAATCCTTCAAACCACCCCTGTAACACTGTCCATGTTACAAATCCTTCAAACCATCCCTGTAACACTGTCCCTGTTACAAATCCTTCAAAACACCCCTGGTACAATGTCCCTGTTACAAATCCTTCAAACCACCCATGTAACACTGTCCCTGTTACAAATCCTTCGAACCACCTCTGTAACACTGCTCCCGTTACAAATCCTTCGAACCACCTCTGTAACACTGACCCTGTTACAAATCCTTCAAACCACTCCTGTAACACTGTTCCCGTTACAAATCCTTCGAACCACCTCTGTAACACTAACCCTGTTACAAATCCCTCAAACCATCCCTGTAACCCTGTCCCTGTTACAAATCCCTCAAACCACCCCTGTAACACTGTCCCTGTTACAAATCCTTCAAACCACCCCTGAAACACTGTCCCCGATACAAATCCTTCAAACCACCCCTGTAACACTGTTCCCGTTACAAATCCTTCAAACCACCTCTGTAACACTGTCCCTGTTACAAATCCTTCAAAACCATCCCGGTAACACTGTCCCTCTTACAAATCCTTCAAACCTCCCCTGAAACACTGTCCCCGATACAAATCCTTCAAACCGCCTCTGTAACACTGTCCCTGTTGCAAATCCTTCAAACCACTCCTGTAACACTGTTCCCGTTGCAAATCCTTCAAACCATCACTGTAACCCTGTCCCTGTTACAAATCCTTCAAACCACTCTTGCAGTCATAAATGATGACAAAGAATTCTGCCAAATTGAACTCAACTGATTGGCAAAAAAGTTTTGGTCAATCAGAATCTACATGAGTAATCCTTAATCCTGAAAGTTTTAAGTCAGTCCCTTGATGGAAAATATACCATAATGTATAGAACTAAAGCTATAACTTGAAACTTGTCAACAAATTAGAAGTCATATCAGCCTTCTTGAATTCTGAATTTTCAAAGTCTGTTATTAACACATGCCTACTATGTACCACTACCATC